TCTTTTCCAAATGAACCGAACCTCGATACCACATTCATCAAAGAGATACGGCCATCTCTCTAGGTTGCACAACCCCTTTAGATCGTTCTATTCGTGCTTGAAAAACGACCCCATCGGTCCGCTCCTTTTAATGGACATTCTTAGCCGTCCTCCGAGGGTTAACACCCCATAGATCAGATCGTGAACTCTTTCAGACCCTTAGTTTCACTTGGTTGGGGCAGAGTTTCAGCCTGCCTTCCACCGAATATAAAAAACCTTAGAGCTGCCTAACCTGCTGACATCCCGGCGAAGAGAGTCATTATTTGTGTCACATCTTCGAATTCGAGAGAAGGCTTTCCTGTTATCTCTCAAATTATAGGCATTGAAGCGATCGAGCGAGAGAAAGAAAGAAAACTATTGCGCACACCCTTCATTCGCCCTTGACTAATATAATAATAGAAGGTAAGGAAAAAACAGCTTAAGTCTTTCCAATCACCTGAGAAGCCCTTGATGAACCGCCTAACATATTATATATACAACTATATAAATACAAATTTTGAAGTATGACTAATCTGAGGAAGAATCCTAGTTCCTGCACCTTGTGTGGCATCTCCCAGTCTACCACAGCTTGCACGCACCTTCTATTGATCCTACCAACTCATGTTGTCGCCAATCCAGTGCCCAATGAACTAGACCTTATGCAAATAACCTTTTTCACATAGAGATGATTTTCCCTTATGATCTGGAATTGGTCATAGTCTGCCAAAAGGGCTTAAAAGGGCCTAAGGATTTTTTGGCATAGTCCTTCATTAAGTTACATAGTTGTTTTAACACTAGGAGTCTCTTTAGATGGTCCCGTGAAACAAGTTCACCCTCAAGGGGATTTCTTTTTCTTTCATAAGAAAAGCCCTNTTTTCGGAATTTCCAAGTGACATGATTCCTTCAAAAGCTAAAGTTAAATGATCGAAGTCTCATTCAGGTTTAGTCGAAGAGATCGAAGCGAAGTCATCAATTCAAACCATTCACATGGTCTCCCCTAAGCATGTTGATGAGCCTCTTTTCCAAATGAACCAAACCTCGATACCATATTCATCAAAGAGATACGACCTTCTCTCTAGGTTGCACAACCCCTTTAGATCATTCTATTCTTGATTGAAAAATGACCCCATCGGTCCGCTCCTTTTAATAGACATTCTTAGCCATCCTACGAGGGTTAACACCCCATAGATCAGATCGTGAACTCTTTCAGACCCTTAGTTTCACTTGGTTGGGGCAGAGTTTCAGCCTGCCTTCCACCGAATATAAAAAACCTTAGAGCTGCCTAACCTGCTGACATCCCGGCGAAGAGAGTCATTATTTGTGTCACATCTTCGAATTCGAGAGAAGGCTTTCCTGTTATCTCTCAAATTATAGGCATTGAAGCGATCGAGCGAGAGAAAGAAAGAAAACTATTGCGCACACCCTTCATTCGCCCTTGACTAATATAATAATAGAAGGTAAGGCAAAAGCAGCTTAAGCCCTTCCAATCACCCGAGAAGCCCTCGATGAACCGCCTAACATATTATATATACAACTATATAAATACAGATTTTGAAGTATGACTAATCTGAGGAAGAATCTTAGTTCCTGCACCTTGCGTGGCATCTCCCAGTCTACCACGGCTTGCACGCACCTTCTATTGATCCAACCAACTCATGCTGTCGCCAATCCAGTGCCCAAGGAACTAGACCTTATGCAAAGCACCTTTTTCACATAGAGCTGATTTTCCCTTATGATCTGGAATTGGTCATAGTCTGCCAAGAGGGCTTAAAAGGGCCTAAGGATTTTCTGCCATAGTCCTTCATTAAGTTACATAGTTGTTTTAACACCAGGAGTCTCTTTAGGCGGTCCCGTGAAACAAGTTCGCCCTCAAGGGGAGTTCTTTTTCTTTCATAAGAAAAGCCCCTTTATTAGTAAGGCGGTCCAGTAAAATGGAGTACCTTCACCTCCTTTGTCACTTAAAAGGTAAGAATGGGCATACTCCACTATGGGTGTAACGGAGAGAGGAACTCTCTTTCCAGAAGGTAGTGAAAGTTTTCCCAAAAGATTAGGAAACTCAATCACTCCTGTTGAAGTCTTAGGTCTAGCACATTGCACCCTTGAGCCCTCTGATCACTTGGTCAGTACTAATCCTAAGACCAAATGTTATCTCAAAAGAGTACATGCTACTGTTCTAACCTCTAAAACCTAAAGAAGATTCATGCCCTCCTCGGCGTGTATGATGCCTTGATGCTGTCATTCGATATCAGGACTACGTTTGTCCAGGCGCTGCTAGATCTTGACAAATATCAAAGCCATTTCGCTGAGGTGAACAAGAAGGAGGCCTTGTATGCCTAGTATTCAGCTACTGTCACCTTCACTAATGATGACCTCATGTTGAAAACAACTGAACATAATCGTCCCAAGTGATTGGGGAGATTGACAATCACAAGGTCAATCGCATCCTGTTGGACCCTGGTTTGTCGATCAGCCTTCTGCCCCTGCGACCCCTCAAAGGGAGCCAACTAAAGCAGAAGTGAAGGCCTAGATGTTCCCCAAAACGGTAGAAAGATCTAAGTCAGCCTCGAAACTACAGAGATGGCCAGAGTCATCAGCAATTCCCTTTTCAAAGAATGATGAAGGTTCATAAGGAAAAGTTATTCTCAATGTCGCAAGCAACGCAGAATCAGAAGAGGTTTTTCTTCCTCGATGATACATCAAGTGACGTAGGGTCAAGTGTGCTCCACGTCGGAAGTAAATCTGATTCATAAAGAAAAGTTGAGTTGACTTAGTCGTCCAAAGGCCCTAAGTGAGTAAGGTGACATACGAGAGGGAACTTCTAAAAATGGAATTCTTCCCCGAAAAGAGGTCCAAACGATGCGCACTCCTGATGGGCTCAAAAAATCCATGGCAAAAATGGAGGTCTTGGTTGTGCAAGACCTAAAGACATGTTATGTCCCATCCTAGTTGGTCGGGAGGCATGAGACCTTGTTCTACCAGTCGACTGAGCAGCCCCTCTAGAGAGAAGACCAGATTCATAAGGAAGATCCTTACAAAGATACCACCAAACTGGTGAAGACTCACTACTATTCGTCGAAGGTTAAGGCTTTATTAGAGAAGGCAGGATACAACTTCAGGCAGCTTTCATTTTTTTTTGAAGAAAATGGTAAGTCGGGTCAATCTGCTATTCAATTGTTAAAAAACCTTGAATTATGCTTTCTTAACTTCCGAATTTTAATTCATATAAAAGTCGATGGATGCAGCGTGGTTAGCATAGCTCATGCATTTATTTGAATCTCTGGAAAAGAGTTTTGGGGTTTCGACTACTAAAAAAGGCTCTACTCTATCCAGCTTTTATCTTGTAGTTGTATTTCTCTCCCGGTTATTAAATAATAAGCCCTATTTGATCTAGTAAGGGAAGGGGTCTTTCTAAAGGTCACAAAGAAAGATTCTTGAAATCTCATTTTGTTAGCTTAGTATTCGCATGCCACTCCCAATCCGACGAGAGAAAGGAAGAATGAATTCTTGCAATAAATAGTATCCGTTTGTAAGGAGTGTGTGAGCAACCCCTAAAAGTGCACTGAGAAGTAGTGTATTTATTCTCTCCCTTAGAGTAGGATAAAACATCCAATTACAATAAATACCTCAACAGATGTGATTGTTCCAGCCTACGAAATGAAGAACAACTCGAACTCCAACAAATAGTAAGTCAAACATGAACTTGAACTCCAACAAATAGACCATGCTTTGAGTTTGTGGTCAATAATTTTGTGATGAAAACTGGAAATGGTCAAAGTGTTGACTTCTGGTGTGACCCTTGGATGGACACTGGCCCTTTAATTCAAAGAATTGAGGAACCTCCTTTTGTTTTTCCAAAGATTAGTGAGCTATGGTTTGATGATGGTTGGCATTTAGAGAATGTAATTGAATGGCTTTCTCCTTCAATGTTGTCTGAGATTTGGGGTTCTGGTATGGTCTTAACAGACAAACCTGACAAAAGGGTATGGAGGCACACTAGTTCAGGTTCCTTTATTGTTAAGTCTGCATGGCACCAGATCAGGAGGAGAGGTGTGCAGAGTAATATAGCCCAGGGTATATGAAAATAGAAGATTTTTCCAAGTGCTTAATTATGCACTTGGAAGATTTTCAGAGATGCTTTAACTACAGATGAAAGGGTGTAGAGAGTTGGTGTGGCATTGGTTAGTAGATGCAGTTTGTGTGCTCAGTATGAGGAAACTTCTGAGCACTTGTTTGTCAATTGTAATTTTTCTGAGCCAGTATGGAGTAGGTGTCTGCTTTTATGGGCTTTAGATTAATTCCAAGGGAATCTCCCATATGTAGATGTTTGAGGTTGATGAGATGTTTTAAAGCTAATACTATTAGCCATGCTTTGATTAGGGGAGTATCCATGTTAATTTTCTGGGCTATTTGGAAAGAGAGGTGCAGGAGGAGATTTGGCAATATGGAGCTGAACTCTTATGCTATTTTTGCACAAGTAATGAGTGCACTTAAATGGCAGGTGTATATGATAAAACATGGTACGATGGATGATCTAAAAGGTAAAGAATTGCTCCAAGACCTAAGGATTGGGAGTCCTTTCTGTGCGATTGAAAAGGTTCAGTGGGTTAAATGGGAACCTCCATTTGGTAATATATTGAAACTTAATGTGGATGGTGCTTCTAAAGGGAGTAGTGGTCTGGTTGGGGGTGGAATGGTTATTAGGAATTCTAATGGTCAACATGGTTTGGAGGGGTGTCGAGTTTTGATTGAATCTGATTCCCATTTTCTTGTCCAAATGGTATTGAGGAAGATAGTGGTTCCTTGGAGATTGTAGAGCTATATGGAACAAATTTGGAGGAGGCTGGGCAATCTGCGGTATCAGTTGAAACATATTTATAGAGAGGCCAATGGGGTTGCTGACTTTTTGGCCTATTTTGCTGTTCAATCTGAAGTTCATACTGAATTTTCTGCACAGGATATTCTGCCTTTGTCTGGCAGGTTGCTTGTGCAATAGGATCAGTCTGGACTGCCTTCTGCAAGAAGGAAGAGGGTTGTGATCAGGGCTTTAAGCTGATGCTAACTGCTTCTATATTCAACAGCTATAGTTTTGCATCAGGGGGATATGGAGGAGGTCAAATGCCTAGTAGCTAAGCTGTGAGTAAATGGACAATCTGACTTGGTTATAAGCAGTTTATGCTTTATTGCAGTATTTGAGGGGCTGTAATTCTGATCTTCGGTTGGGAAAGTTTTAAGGATAGCTGCTAGGGTGCTGATGTTGGACGGTTGCTGTGGATTTTCTGCTTGGTTGCTAGAATGGTTTGTTGATCTGTTCTATTTCAGTTGCTTTATGCTATTTTGGAAGATTGCTACTGTGAGCTGTGTTGTGAGCAAAGGAGCAGAAGCTGAGCTAGGGGGTTCATAATACAGTGAGAAGAACTCATTCAGCAGCTGGAGGAGTAGCAGGTCCAGGTTTTAGGTAGTTGGACTGTACTTGATAGATACTTGGTTTAGTCCTTTTGAAGGATTAAAGCCAACTCTTTGTAATTAGAATTTTTTTCATTTCCTTTGCTTCTTGTAATTCATTGCNCTTGATAGATACTTGGTTTAGTCCTTTTGAAGGATTAAAGCCAACTCTTTGTAATTATAATTTTTTTTCATTTCCTTTGCTTCTTGTAATTCATTGCTTCATGGAATAAAATTTTCCTTTTTCTTAAAAAAAAAAAATACTACGAATAACAGTATTGTTTTCGCTGTTGCCAGAATTTGAATGTTACTTGCTGGAAATTCAATGTTACTTATCGAAATTTTTATTGCGATGTACTTTACGACCATCTGAGAGTTATTTTCTTAATTCGATTGGCNTTTTCTTAAAAAAAAAAAATACTACGAATAACAGTATTGTTTTCGCTGTTGCCAGAATTTGAATGTTACTTGCTGGAAATTCAATATTACTTATCGAAATTTTTATTGCGATGTACTTTACGACCATCTGAGAGTTATTTTCTTAATTCGATTGGTGATTATTTGATTTGTTTATTGCGATAAGCCAAGCCACAATCATTGTATGTTTGCTCTTTATCAGAATATGGTAAATTTGTTTTTTTGTTTGCAGTCATAGTAACATGAATGTGTTAGTGGTATAGATATAATGCAGTACACAAATTCATTTTTTTTAAATTAGTTTATGTTTTTATATTTCATGTTACTATTCGTGCTTTATTGGAATTAGAATTGATTGTTTTCGTATTTCAATATTTTTTTCCTTTATATTTATTTTCTTGGTTGTAACAAATAGAGGATAACATATTTGTTTATTGCAAGTATTCTTCTGAGACTGTTGTGATTAGAAGTTTAATGAATTTCACAATTGATGATGTGTTACATGGTGTTTGTGATGATTGAAATGGTTTCTTCCCCAGGTTTACCAAGCTCACCTCTAGCTCGTTTGATTTTACTTTTCGTGCATGCACTCTTCTAGTGGAGCTGCTCTCTCCTCCTTCTGCAAAGCCTCCAGAGATCATCGAAATCTCTCCAATAGGCTATTGATGTTGTACCTCATTATGGGGAGGTTGGGCTTCATTCATTTCTTGATGGCGGTGCTCTATGTACCTCCCCGGACGACCCTTTTGAATCAAATCCTCGATTTGGTCTTTCAAGACCTGACAGTCGTTAATGTTATGACCATGATCTCAGGTGAAAACGATAGTATTTGTCCTTAGACCTCCTATTGGGTGGATTTTTTTTATCTTCATAGGCCATATAAGCATTCTCTCATTATGTATTTGGTAGAGGATTTGCTTTATAGAGGTGTTTATAGGGGTGTACCTCTAAACTGGCTCATTGGTGCATGTACCTAATTGATCCCTTACACTACCCTTTCAGAGCAATTCTTTTTAGGACTACTTTTCTTTTCCTTCGCATTCTCTTATCATCTCTTTGATCCTCTCGCTTGTCTTCTTGATTCTTTCGAACCAGGTGAATGTCCTCAACGTTCATTTAGCATTGTGCTCTCGCCAAGAGCTCGGACACGGAGGAGGGTGTCTCTTTGGGAAGAGAAAATAGGAACTGAAAGGGTTGGAGGCCTGACAAAAAGGCTGTCAAGGCCACCTTGTCATCAACATTGTCAATCTGCAATGACTCCAATGTGAAATAGTTTACATATTCCCGAAGTGTTTCATTCTTGAATTGCTTGTTATTGAGAAGATAGTTCGGAGGCCGGTTGTGAGCTCGACCTCCAATGAAATACGATAAAAAAGACGTGCTAAACTCTCAAAACAAGTTGATCGACCTCAGCTTTAGCTTGTTGAACCAATGCCTCCTTGTCCCTTGAGTGTGGTAGCAAAGACTTTGCACATGATTTGTTTTGGTACGCTATGCAGCATCATTAGAGACTTATAAGTCTCAAAATGGTCCAATGGATCCTTGGTTCCATCAAACACCTCCATGGTTGGCATTTTGAACCTCTCTGGGAGAGGGTAATTTGCCACATCTTGTGAGAACGATGACTCAGTGTGTTGAACCAGAGCCTCAATAGCCTCTAGGACTTGGACTCTCACCGTATTCATGGCGTTTCCTATTTTTTCATTTGCTTCTTGGAACTTTCACTCCCATCGATCATCATTCTAGGGACGAGACATCTCATCTTCACTCAAGCCATCCCCTTGATTATCTACAACACGCTCCTTGGGTTGAGATTGCTCCAAGAGCTCAAAGATATCCTGGTTTTTCCTTTTTAGATCCTCAATAGCTTTCTCCAATCTTTTAACCTTTGGTAGGGGCATGTTCCTTTGTCCCTCTGTGTGGGAGTTAGGATGTTCTTGCATCTGATCAACTATAAGATCCTTGGATGCTCTTGTGATCGCCACAGGACTTGGATTTAATCCTAGAAACCAAGTTGATTCCCATAGGCGGTNTTGCATCTGATCAACTATAAGATCCTTGGATGCTCTTGTGATCGCCACGGGACTTGGATTTAATCCTAGAAATCAAGTTGATTCCCATAGGCGGCGCCAACTGTTGTTCCCAAAAATAGTTCCAAGGTAAGGTGATGATGTGGCAATCGTGGGGAGTCCTAGCACAGGAGTCGATGACTAGAAGAGTTCCGGTGGTCAACTTTCTAATAATGAAGTCAGTAAAAGAATTAGAGATAAGATGGAGTGTAGCTAGGAGGTGTTACTTACTTAGGGCTTAGCTGCCTCCTTCCCTTTATATGTCAGACCCTGTCACCATTGGAGCTTTGTAGCTACTTTTCAAATTGGGTGGCAAGAAATGTGGAACCTGCTTCCCCAAATATCTGCAACGGGTTTACGCTAAAATGGTGGGATATGGGCGAGCAAATCGATAGGTCAGTTTGGGCTCTGGAGCTGTTTCCTCACACCGGATCCACCCTCACGTGCTTGTCGTGATCCTTCTCTTCACGTGCTTTATCTTAAGATGCATTTAGCTCCATTAGCACGTGTTTGGCATGTGTTTTACCCTAGCACATATCTAGCTCCATTAGTTCTAAAAAAAATTCAAAATTATATTGAAATTAATTAGGAGTCATAAATCTTTATTTCATACAATTATAGTCATTGACAAACAAAGTAAAAAAATAATAATAATATACGCATATCACATTTTAATTCAATATAATATTAAAATTAATTGAAAGTTTTAGATTCAGTTTGATACATTTGTAGCCATTGATTATAAAAATATTACAAAATCAAATAAAAAACTTTGTTCATATTATATTTTAATCGGCTAAAAAATAAAATTATGGTAATAAAAAATAATTTTTCTATATTATTCTTGGACTTAGAGTGAGAGTCAAACTTTTTTGACATTTGGGATATGGGTTACAAGCAATATAGAAGCGCTATTAAATCAGTTGACCTCATATTGTAGGCATTTTTTTCTTATTTTTTTATGGGTGGGGCTATTCCCACANACCTCATGTTGTAGGCATTTTTTTCTTATTTTTTTTTATGGGTAGGGCTATTCCCATGCCATTAAAATTTTTATTATCAAACTACTAAACCCACACATTTTATATTCACCCCATTTTAACTAAGCTCACCTCATACTATCCACACCCCCTTTAATAACAAGTTTATCTTATAGCTTTTCAAAATTAGGATTTCATTTACTATTTTCATTCCTCATATACTCTACACAAAAGATCTTTTCAATATGAATTTTTCTAGTAAGTTACATATTAGTATTACTTTTCGGTTTAATTTTTTGTTGGGCAATGCTACATGGACTTCAAAAGTAGACTTAAAAATTGTACTTGATAATCACAACTATTGATTTCCCTGTGGATACCAACATTGGTTAAGATTCACGATCTATTCAATAACTGTGATTATCAAATATACTTTTTAAATTCATATTTTAAGTCCCAATAGCATTTCCTTTTTTTGTTTGATTTCATGTATGCTTTATGATTTCATGTTCTATCAATCTTAATTATTTTTGATTAAGGGGTTTATATATATATATATATATATATATATATATTCATACACGTTTGCCACAAGAAAGAAAAACGAAGCATTGTAAATTCTTGTTTTGATTATATATAATTATAGATTATTTTTGATATATTCGATAAACTTTTTTGATCCAGTTTGTGTCTATTCAAAGAGAAGTTAATATTGTTGTCCACACTATAGCAATACAAGCTGTTGCTCCTGATATTAAGCTAACGGAGGTTGTTTTGACAGAAGTTATAATAGCCTTGGATAATATACAGTTACAAAAAGTGATATACTCATCTTACTTATCAATCCATATTAAAAAAAAAAATTATTTTATGTAGGTTGTATAAGAAGAGATAGTGAATGAAACTCTAGTTATGAGAAGATAGAAAGTTGACTAATCTATATCTATACTACTAAAAAAAGTACCTTAACATGAAAAACTTTTGATTCACTATTTTGTCCTTATAAAAAACTATAATGGCTAACATATTTTTTTGTATTTAAATATGCAAATTACCATTATACCTCTTTGTATTTAAATAACAAAATAATCTGTAACATATGATGTAAATTTCTCTATCTTTGCAAAATTTTTAATGGTCATATTATGCTGAACGTGATATATAAAAATAACATTATTTTTTTTCTCAATAAAAGTACCTTAACATGAAAATTTTTTGATTTACTATTTTACCCTTATAAAAACTATAATGACTAATATGTCTTTTTGTATTTAAATATGTAAATTACCATTATATCTTTTTGTACTAATAAAAGTACCTTAACATGAAAAACTTTTGATTCACTATTTTATCCTTAAAAAAAACTATAATGGCTAACATATCTTTTTGTATTTAAATATGCAAATTATCATTATATCTCTTTGTATTTAAATAACAAATTAATCTATAACATATCATGGAAAATTTTCTATCTTTGCAAAATTTTTAAATGATCATATTATGCTGAACGTGATATATAAAAATAATATATTTTTTTTCTCAATAAAAGTACCTTAACATGAAAATTTTTGATTTACTATTTTACCCTTATAAAAAACTATAATGACTAATATGTCTTTTTATATTTAAATATGCAAATTACCATTATATCTCTTTGTATTTAAATAACAAACTAATCTCTAACATATCATGCAAATTTCTCTATCTTTGTAAAAATTTTGAATAGTCATATTATGCTGAACGTGATATATAAAAATAACATTATTATTTTTTTTACCAAAACCCTAATATTAATACACGTTGACAACTCTATTAATACAATATAAACTCCAATATCCAAAAACGAAAATAATTTGGTTAAAAATACTAATGCACAAAATAAAAAAAAAAAGAAAGAGAAAAAGAAAATCAAGAAAAGAAAAATATATAAACCTTACTACTTGATTGCTTGAATGAAAGAATTACAAAAAATGTGTCTATGTTATGTTTATAGTTATAAATAGAATACAAATAATTTAAATATGAGATAATATTTAATTTAATTATATAATTAATTTTTTTATATATATTTTATCAAATATTTCAACAAAAAATTTTATGTACAACGCATATTGTGCATTACTGGTTATTAAAAAAGTGTGTATAGTATGGAGTAAATTTAATTAAATTGAGGTGGGTATTGAAGGAGTGCCTTTAGTAATTTGATAACAAAAATTTTAATGGGATGAAAATGAATATTTGTAGGGTTGAAATAATCCACCCTTGACTTTGTTACAGGGTCAAAAACTCAGGATTCCAGCTCTTGACTTTATTATAGCTTGTTTTTATTCGGGTAAGTTGGCTCACCAACCATTCGCGTGGGACTGGCTGGTGGAAGCTGCCAATAGTCTCTCCACTGAAAGACGACCTCTGCCTCTTCGCAACAGTCGGCGATCTTCTCAACCCAGTCTCTCTCTCTCTGACTTTCAGTCTCTCAATCTCAGTTCTCTCTCTGTGCAGCTGCGAGCAAGCAAGGGACGACGAAGGCTGCTTCAAAGCTCTATCCCATCGAAGCATCGACGACCATTGACAGCAGCAGGTAGTACACTACCTACTCTCTCTCTCTCTCTGTGTCGGTCTCTCTCTCTACTCTGAGTACTCTCTAACATGTACACAGTACATGCCCTAATCGGCAAAAAAATTATATTTGATTTTTGATGCTTATACATTTAATCTTTAATAAAGCTATGAGCAAACATGCAATTATAAGTAGTTAAGTATATAGAATCAAGTAATTACAATTTACAACCTGTGATTACAAGTAGTTAAGAGCATATTAATTGATCAATTGAGCAGATTAGGGCAAGTTTTTTTATTTTGCTTATGGTTCCGAGTTGAGCTTGAGCAGATTTGAAAAATCGACCATATTTATGGTGGTCTTGCATGCATTGGTTTTTGATTATTTTCATTTGTTGATGTAAGAGCTTTGTAAGCTTGAATCTATATTTTTAATATTGTTGGGCTAAGAAGCACGGACACGGACACAGATACGACATGATACAGATACGCGAAGATACATATACACCACAACACAATATTTCTCGACACGGACACGTCGGAATACGCTACAAAAAAAATTATATGTTGTATATCATATTATATAATTTATTACAAATATAGTGATAATGATATACAATTCATAACAAAATTAGTATTTTAATGTCTAGCCATCTGTGTGAATTTTTAGACCAAGGCATCTTTATTATAGTCAATAATCATCAATTTTTTTTTGTTGACAATGTGTACCTAATATATAATTTAAATAATTGCTCTTATTTTCTCAATTCTTCTTTTTTAAAACTTTTATGCATCTTTTATTTTTATTATTATATTTAGAATACAACTTTATCACGTCTAGTATTAGTAATTATATGTTCTCAAATTTTTAAGTTTTGTTAATCACATTTCAACACATATCTATTGTTTAGTAGTAGACATTTTTTAAAGAAGTGTCGGACATCTCACCAAATAAGCATCCAACACGTGTTCAAAATTAAAAATTATCATTTAAGTATGGACATGAATAAAAAAGTAACGAACACATGTCAGAAGAGGGTCGGTGTCCGACACGGATACTTCACCTTCTTGAGAGTGTCCGTGCTTCATAGTTGTTGGGATGTTATTGATGCTGGATATTTTTAAGCTTGAAATTGAATCTAGAAATTTTTAACTTTACATGTTTGATGCTATTTTATAATTATTGTGATTTTTTAGCCTATTTATTATAATTTTTAATTATTTATTATTTTTTTTATTGTATTACCGGTTTAACTAGTCACGTAACGGTTGAACCAGTAACTTAACGGTTGAACTGGTAATCCATTGACCCGATCTTTTTATTGGGTTGATGTGCGGACTGGGTTTTAAAACTATGAGTTTATTTGTTTATCACTCACATCTACTAAAGGCTAAACCCAACCTTGTTATTTTCATCAATTTCTTATTGAGTTTGCACTCCGTACCTAAAATTGTCTTAATTAGAGGCCCTAAATTTTATTTGGGCCCCAAATAAATGTATGAGAGTAAATTACATATATGGTCCTTCAACTATAGGTTCTTAAATTTTTTTTTTTTGTGTTAATTAAGCTCTTAAACTCTTTATTTGTGTCAATTTAGTCATTCTATCTGAATCCGTTAGAGCATGCCACTCAGTGATCATGTGACAGAAAAAGACAGAAGGGCTCATTTGACACAATTAAAGAGTTCAGGGGCTCAATTGATAAAAAAAAAAAGTTCAACGACTTAATTAATACAAAGTTCATAGTTTGAGGGTTATATATGTAGTTTATTCTAACTCACATGTGTCACGTGGGGTGCACATTCACTTTTCGTTAGAAAATGTAATGGAGACAGACAGAATGACTCAGTTGGCATAATTAAAGAGTTCATAGGCTCAATTGACACAAAACAAAAATTCGGGAGCTTAATTGACGCAACGTTATAATTTTAAGATCATGTGTTGTTTACTCTATGTATTAAATTGGGACCCTAGGTGGCCTACGCCGAGGGCGTTGGGGAGAGAGAGTATGGAGGTGAGAGCAAGAGCTCCTGGGAAAATCATACTTGCCGGTGAACACGCTGTGGTTCACGGATCAACAGCTGTTGCTGCCTCCATTGATCTCTATACTTATGTCTCTCTTCGTTTTCCCACTCCTGAAGGTACTCCATAAACTCTTAACTTCCATACATGTCTGCTTTTCCTTGATGTGTGTGTGCGAGCTAAAATTGTTGATATTTTGAAGTTTCTGAGAGGTAATTGACCTGGTTTTTCTTGAAATGGTTTAGTAAGCAAATCCCTTTTGACATTTTGTGTTTTGTTAGGTATACATTGCCAAAGCTCTTTGTGTCCGTTAGTGGGTTGGGTTGACTTTCTCATAAGATTATAATTAAGTAAAATTCTTAGAAACACCCGCTTCCTTATTTATTATGTAGTTATTTTGAATCTGAATTTGTAGTGTTATAGTTACACTTGAGTAGTGCAGTAGTATTGCATTGCTTAACTATTGGGATTTGATTAGGCTAAATTATAGGAACCTCGACTTTATGACCCGTGTGATCACACCCTTTGTTATTTTGATATTGATCATCAAAGTTTTCTTGAAATGAAATTTTTATGTAAAAATACCCTTTTGGTTTTGGTGAAAATAATGGTATTATAATGTGCCTTTGATGGAAGTGCTGTTAACCTGGTAATTAGTGAGTATTCAGAATTATTGCGGACAATAATTCTGAATACTAGACTCTCAATAATTACCTAATTATTGGTAATTAGGTAATTGTATCTCTTTCGCTGCAAGTCAACCAGGATTTATGACTCTCATGAGAATCATGGAAGCATATTTAATTAATTTATATTGCCTAAGAAATATATCTAGACGTTGTGTTATACCATCACTTGGAAGTTGAGGATCAAATATATGATAAATGTTGTATGTTCTAATTATAGTATAATTGGGAATTGGATCAATTTTGACCAATGCATGATTTATTTTTTCTGCCTAATAGGTAATTCTCTCTTGGTGATACTTATTGCATCTTTATTTATTTGATCTCCGTGATCTATTGACTAGATTGGTTTCTCTTTTATCTTTTTGTGGCTAGATAATGATGATACACTTAAACTCCAGCTCAAGGATATGGCTTTAGAATTTTCTTGGCCAGTTGGAAAAATTAAAGCAGCACTACCAGAATTGGGTAGTCATGCCGCATCATCACCCACATCATGTTCACCGGATACCATTAAATCAATTGCAGCTCTAGTTGAAGAACATAATATTCCAGAGGCCGAAACTGGACTTGCTGCTGGAGTTTCAGCTTTCCTTTGGTTATACACCTCTATTCAAGGGTTTGCATCTACTATTGGTTACTATTGATAACTTTTGTTTGTGGCTATGAACCACTCTGACGTCTGGTATTGTTATGTGTCAGGTATAAACCTGCGAAGGTGGTTGTCACTTCTGAGCTTCCACTGGGCTCAGGATTGGGTTCATCGGCAGCATTCTGTGTCTCCCTCTCAGCTGCTCTGCTTGCTTTGTCCGACGCTGTGAACTTAGATTTTGGTCAACAAGGCTGGTTAATGTTTGGAGAAAGCGAGCTGGAATTGGTTAACAAATGGGCTTTTGGTGGTGAGAAAATAATCCACGGGAAGCCATCTGGGATAGACAACACGGTTAGCACATATGGTATGTATTCTTTCATAGCAATTTGGAAAACAGTTTGAACTCTTGAGGCTCAAAGAGAAAATATTGTGGAGGAGTTATGAAGCTTGGAAAGTTATTTTAAATTTTTTTTTTCTGAATTTCAGGGACTAAAAAAAAATAAGTAGAGGCTAATAATGTGTTTAATTGCAGGAAAATAATCCATTTGAGTTAATTGAGAAGTAGAGGCATCCGTGTTTTGAAAAGCTCGCCTAGGCGCTCGCCTAGGCGAGAAGCGAGGCGAGGCGAGCTTATCTCGCCTGGAGGACCCCAGGCGAAGCGAACGTGAGCGAAGCGAGAAAAAAGCGAGAAAAAGCGAAAAAGCGAAGAAGCGAAAAAAGCGAAAAAGCGAACGCTTTATTATAAAAAGCGATTCTGCTTCAACTTTTTTTTTTTTTTTTTCTGATTACAGGTTAGTAGT